GTTTCTTATTGGTATACAGCATTACCAGCAGACAAAGTTTTGAGGAAATCATGACATTCCAACAACAAATTTTGAGGGTTAAGGATAAGGATTATTTCCCGATTATCGTGGTTGGTAACAAATGTGATTTGGAGGGTGAGAGACAAGTTTCAAAACAAGGTATGTTTGTTTGTTTGTTTACTTGTTTGTCTATTTGTCTATTCATCTATTCATCCATTCATCCATTTCATTCATTTGAAATTTATATCGTGAGACCCGATATCGCTGGTCACAACATAGACTAATCATATTATCACAACAGAGGGTCAACAATTGGCAGATGATTTCGGATGCAAATTTATCGAGACATCGGCGAAATCGAGAATTAATGTCGATAACGCTTTCTACGATATTGTTCGCGAAATCAGACGTTATAACAAGGAAATGGCTGGTTACACGGCAGGTGGTGCTAGTGGTGCAAATAATGGTGGACCACAAGGAAAGATGGAGGTTAGTGAGGGTGAGAAGGAAAGTGGATGTTGTTGTATTATCATGTAAATGGTGAATGTGATGAAGATTGGGGAAGAGAAGATAAATGTAAGGATTGGTGGTAGTTGGGCGTATATTATGGAATTTGAAGAGATGTTGTTATATTTGCAAAGGAAAGATACCAAAACAATTTTCTAAAAGGGGATAGATTGATGGATGGCTGGATGGATGGATGGGTGATCCGATATACGAAGTGGATCTTTGAGGATACAATGGATATTGATGGATGGTATGGATGGATTGGGATGGGATTTCACAAATAAGATGTTAGTAATTTTTGGGGGATTTGAGTTGTTGTCGATATACATATATTGGTGGGGTGAAGGAGAGAAAAGAGAAGAGAAGTGATCCTTCGTACAATATGCTGTTTGAGGGATGGATGAATGGATGGATAAAGAGATAGCTGGATAGATTGATGGTGGATGGTGGAGAAGTGAGTGGTGAAGGGAAATTCATGGTTTAAGGAATATGTATTCTTGAAAATAGTGAGAGGGAAAGAAGGGAAAAAGGGGAGGAAAAACCCAGGGAAGCATTTGTGAGATGGGAGAGGGGAGATATTCTAAGTTCAGCCTCTTCTTTTTTTTTATATAATGATACTCCTTTTTAAATGTTATGGATGGGATTTTTGGATTGTTTGAATGTTTGGTGATTGGTGATTGGTGATTGGTGATTGGTGATTGGTGATTGGTGATTGGTGATTGGTGATTGGTGATGGTGATGGTGATGGTGATGGTGATGGTGATGGTGATGGTGATGGTGGGGCTTAGGGTTGTACTGTGTTGTGTGAGTATGTATTGAGGTGTGTATAGATGTATGTTGTGTATGTATGTTGTGTATGTGTGTGTATGTATGGATATGAATATGTGAGTATATCTATCTGTATCTTGTTTGTATCTATATCTATGTATAAGTAAGTAAGTAAGTATAATATATAAAGACAAAATATAATTAACCCATATACACATAATATAACATTACTGAATCTAAATCTCGATTAGAGGAATAGATACCTAGGTAGGATTAAGGGGAGGAATAGAATAGAATAGATAGAGTATAGAGTTAGAGGGGAGGGGAGGAATTAGAGGGGAATAATAGACAGAGTTAAAGGGGGGGGGGGGGGGGAATTAGAGGGGAATAGATAGAGTTAGAGGGGGGGGGGGAATTAAAGGGGAGGAAATGAATGAAAGAGGGGGAATAGAAGGGAGGAATAGAATTAAAAAAGAAGTAGAATTCGAGGGAAGGAATCGAAAGAGAGGGAGGAATCTAGTAATTTTATATGGAATCCAGATGTATGTATAGATGTATAGATGTATAGATGTATAGATGTATAGATGTATAGATGTATAGATGTATAGATGTACAGATGAATGTGTATATCAATTTCTCCTTAATGAAGTGAGGTGTGAGGTGTGAGTGTGAGGGAAGGGGCGTGAGGGAAGGGGTGTGAGGGAAGGGGTGTGAGGGAGTGAGGGAGATGGAGAGGGGAGGAGAGACAAGGGGAGAGGGAGAGGGGAAGAGAAGGGGAGAGAAGAGAAGTGGAGAGTGTGAGGCAGAGAGAAGGGGAAAGGCAAATAGATAGATTGATAACTTATAGAAGAGAAGATAAGAAGGGCGATAGGAATTGAGAGAAGGAGAGAAGAGGAGAGGGAAAGCGAGGAAGTGGAAAAGCGAGGAAGTGGGAAAGCGAGGAAGTGGAAAAGTAAAGTAAAAGATAGCTGGGATTGAGAATTGAAAGTTAAAAATTGAAAGAAGAGATAACATGACGCTCCGCTGGCCCTCCGGGGGCCACTGCCGTGGTGGCAGAATAATTAGGTTATTTTTTTTCTTTTTTCTGTTTTTTGGGGGGGGAGGTGAAGAGGGAGGTGAAGAAATGGAAGGAAATGGAAAGGACTTTCTATTTTGATACTAACATTGGTATTAATATCGATTTTGATAATTGGTTGTTGTTCTTGTTTTGATTCTTGAGGGGGGGGATAGGACTGGTTTGAGTGTGGGTTTGGATTTGGAGTTGGAGTTGGAGTTGGAGTTGGATTTGGAGTTGGGTTTGGAGTTGGATTGGGTTTATAAGGAAATAATGATTGTAGTGAAGAAGGGGGAGGAGATGAAATGGAAAACGATGGATGGAGGGGAGAGGTGGTGAGATGAGATAAGAAGTGTTGAAATATGAGAAGGAGAAGAGGGAGGAGGGAGGAGGGAGGAGAGGAGAGAGAGGAGAGGAGAGAGAGAGAGGAGGAGAGAGAGGAGAGGAGAGAGAGGAGGAGGAGAGAGCGGAGCGGCGAGCGAGAGAGGAGAGAAGAACTTCTTTTGTAATTTTATCTGTATCTGTATCTGTATTCTTCAAGAAAGAAAATGTTATATGGATATATATATAGTAGTAAGCTATCAGGAAACCAATCCCTGATACTGTGCCTTTTGGACAGATTGCGTGGGTGGCGTAGTGGTAAAGCTTACAACTCCTATTGTGTCCGCTTACGTAACAGAAAAGGAAAGAATAAGAAAGAAAAGTTTATCGAGAAGGGAGGGATGGAGAGGAGAAAGATGTTCTGTTTGTAGCTTTTGAAATGAATGGATTTTGAATTCTGGATTTTAGATGTACCAAACAGCTATAAAGAAAATTAAAAGAATCAAGGGAGTTTGAAACGAAAGAGAAAAGGAAGAGAGAAGGAAAGAGAAGGGAGGAGAGAGAATCCAACTCCTTTCTAATAACCATCTACGAAAGAGTCATAAATAAAACAGAAATGAATAAATATACGTCAAGTAATATTCTTCATCAATAAAACTTTCATATTCCGAGATAAATAAGTTATCTCATCTCTCTCTACATCTGAGATTAATAAACACTAATAAAGGAGTTTATAAATAAATTATAAAGTTTAAAGAAGGGAGGTTATAGGTTTATGAAATGGAATGTGTTGCTGTATTTTTTATTATATCGGTTGTTGGATTATTATTGTGAGTATCTAGAGAGTAGCGAGTTAAGGGGAGTTACTGGGATACTAGGTAGGTAACGAATGGATAGAGGAGAGTGAGATGGGGAAGGAGAGAAAAGAAAGGGGGTTTATCTATACTTATCTATTTATAAACAAGAGTATTCTATTTCTTAGATTCTCTGATATCATTACTCTATCTAGAAATATATACATCTTCAATAACTCTCACATATCGTATATAGAGAAATATACTCACAAATAATAAATCTCGAGTTTAGCGAGCGAAGAGTCTGAGTACTGAGTCTTCTATTCTTATTATAGTATGATACTATTCTATTGATTAGATTCTCTAGTAAACATTATAAGGGGATTAGAAATTCTTTATATATAAAGAGAGAGGTTTGTATTTAAGATTATCTTTATCTTTATTTCTGAGTGGAAAATTTTATACGTTGCGAGCTAGAGGATTTGAGGGCTAGGAAATGACTGGCTGACTGGATGGGGGGGAAGGAGGAGTGGGAGGAGGATTCTGTATTTATATTGTAGTTATAAGTAGTCTACTATTTGTACTTCTAGATAAATTTACTAGGGAATTGAAAATCTTCTGTAAATACTAGATAAATAAATAAATAAATAAATAAATAAATAAATAAATAAATAAATAAATAAATAAATAATCCTAAACGAGAAAAAAGTATACATAACAAATTTATATAATATCTAAGGAGACAGACGAGCTTTATCTATATAGGAGAATCTTAGAGACGAGTATAGATTATATAAATGAAAATAGATAGTTGGTTTATATATATATATGTAGATAGATAGATAGATAGATATCTTTACAAAGTAAAGTAAAGAGAAGAAAAGAAAAGAAAAGAGAGAATGTATATAGTAGAACTATATTAGCGACTATACTAGGCTGGGCTGGATACTTAATAGAATAAATGAATGAATGATTAAAGTCTACATCTATATACATATACATACCTAGATATACATACCTAGATATACATACACATATACATGTACGTATATACTATAATAAACTCAAGTATCGAGCCTCTTCATTATAACATATTTAACAAATTGATATTTTTGATACATAGCTAGCTAACTCGCAAATAAATAGCTAGAAAAAGAATGGCAAAGAAATACTACCTATGATATGCGAAGAAATGGGATATCTATCTATGTTTGGTATTGTATCGTATAGAACTTTTGATGTTGGTCGTTGGTGTTTTGCTGCCTGCGCTTGTTTTTGGTGTTTGGTGTTGGATAGTTGACTAGTTGACTGGCTGGATCGCTTTTTGCTTTGCAAGTGGAGAGTTTTCTTTGTGGTTCTTGATTTTGGGCGGATGGTGGATGCTGTAGAAAGCTTGTAGTATCGCATCGTTTGTTTGTTCGCTTGTTCGCAGCCTGAAAAATTGGCTAGGGATATGGTGGTGGTGGATTGATATTTCAACTCCACGTCAACCCCAGTATATTCATTTCCCTTCCTCGTTCCTCTCCCCTTTTCTTATAAACCCCTTCACCACCCCCTCACAAAATCCCCACCAAAACTCCCAACAACCTCAATACCCACGGCAACGCCGCTCCCACCCCACTCAAATTCCAAAGCCCAAACGCATTCGTCTTACACACTCCCACTTTCCCCCACTTCACCACTCTCTTCTCCCATTCTCCCAGTGTTAAACTTCCCGTGAACACTTTCTCCAACTCCAACGCTTGCATTGCGCTCTGCGTCGTACTAAGCGCCATATGCGGACGCATAAGGTTCAAGGCTTCACCGGTAATTAAAACTCTGTTATCGAAACCTGAGAGTAGCGCGCACGGAAGCGCAGAATCGTTAATGGCGGTTATGAAGGGAGAGGGGGTTTTGGATATGACTTCTGCAAAGGGCGCGCACATGATGGATTGGGAGAGGGTGAGATAAGGGGTCCAGGCTGTGGGGTTCATGAGGCCGGCAGGAAGTGTGGTGCGGTGGAGAACACCGGTGGTGTCGGTCATGAGGGAGGTGAGGGACGGAGAGGGGGAAATGGGGTGGTACCATACCCAATTGTAACGGCGGGATCCGGGGGTCAGGGAGCCGTTTGGGCCGGGGATTATGTATCTGATTTTTTGTTAGATTGGGGTTTGGAGATTTAGGGGGTTGGGGATGGGATGATTGGGAGATTGGGAGAGTCAAGGAAGTCAAGGAGTAAGGAAACGAGGAGGAAATTGAGTGAAAGGAAGAAAGGAAGAAAACTTAGACGTACAAAAGTATATATCCCCCCTTGTAAGAAAAATACGTCAAACTAGGATCGAATATCTTCTTTGTCTCTTCCGAAACCTCGGATTCTAAAACCGTTCCTCGAAATGCTACATAGCCTGCATATTCTCTCTTGACATCTGGAAAGTATTTTGCTCTCAGAGAGGAATTTGCTCCATCGGCTAGTATCACCATGTCGGCTTTCATTTTGAATTCTTTATTTGCCTCATTTTGATTCTCGTAGGTTATCTCGACGCTGCCGTCGGATAGTTTGCTGAGAGATGTAACGTTCATTCCAGTTAAGAATTCACGTTTTCCTTGACTTTTTCCTTTTGGGTGATCTTCTTCTTCTTCATGATCATGATCATTATCTTTTCCTTCTTCCGATTCGGGAACCACTACTTCCCCATCACAAAATTCACTCTTCAAACCATCGAAATTCCGTCGAAGACGATAATAAATGACGCTCCAACTCGTCATCTTTAATTCCCTCTTCATCTCTCTCTTGACACTGGCATCTTTATTTAAAAATTGCACGGTGGGAGAGTGGATAGACCAGGGTTGAGCAACACGGTCGTGAGATTTCATGAAGAGTTCGAATTCGGGCCAGGTGGTGATACCGGCGGCGAGATCGGGACGGAGTGAGGAACTGTGTCGTTCGAGAATGGTGAGGGTGTGGGGGGTGGGGAGATGGGAGAGCATGGTGCCGTGCATGAGGCCGGTGCTGGAGCCGCCGATCTTTAGGTTTGGAGCGGGAGGTTAGTGGGGAGGGGTTAAGGAGGGGGTGGAAAGGGGGAGTGGAAGACTATGGAGGAGGGGGTGGAGTGGACATGACATGACGGGACGGGGCGGGAAGGAAGGAAAGGGATAAATAAATAGATGATGGGAATTGGAATTGGACATTGGATGATGGATGGATAGATAGTGTACTTACAATGACGATATGCATTGGTTTTGAGAAATCCATCGTGTTGATGATGTATGAAGAGAGTGATACAACTGATATGAAACCAGGTGAAGTATGAATTATAAAATTCGCCCGGAGAGATCAAATAAATAAAGGTAGGTAGGTAGCTCTCAACCTCTTGGTCCTTATCTCAAAGAAAGATCACGTTCTTCTCCTCTTTTCCACAAGACAAATGGTGAATTAAGGTTACCACGATAGAGAAACTCGTAGTCAAGTATCTCGTAGTCAAGTATCTCGTAGTCAAGTATCTCGTAGTCAAGTATCTCGTAGTCAAGTATCTCGTAGTCAAGTATCTCGATGCTTCTTAAACAGATTGATAATTAAGAAATCTCAGAAATAAAATTTCCAAGAGGAAGCTGTAATCGTTGTGAAAAAAATTAAACGCTCAATTCAAAGAGATAGATTTGTTTCCCCTAGAAAAGTGGAGAGCTTCCTGTGTGATTGCGGCACGGCATTGAATTCTACACTTCCTGTTGGGAGTACCCAGATGACACGTGAATTTCATTGGAAGACGGTAGATGGGATCACGGCATACACGGCATATGGTGATAATACCGATTTGACATAAATGCTACGATGTAGACAAGGCAAGATGGCGAGTGGGATATGGGAGAGTAAAAGAATGTGATGATCGATAATGATGGATAATGACTACCACCTCGTATTGTCTAACTACTCTCGCTACTCTTGGCGTGATGAGAATGGCATGAGGGAATTGAGGGATGGAGATCCTATAGTCAGTTTTGGTTGCGTCTTTATCCATGAATAAATATCGTTGGCGTCGAGAGTAAGCAGAGATGATGTGGTCGCGGTCAAACTATGTCGTCGGTATCACCAAATATGATGACAAGGTGGGGGAATTCATCCGATGATATGCCTTCTGCTGTGTTTCAATGGTCCATCTGGTGATCCTATAATTTATATACACGATTATATATTTTTTATATCGTACGTTAACCTCGAGGTTAACACAACATAATTCAATTCCTCTCACCGGGTAGTGGTCCTACCCTACCCTACATACATATATCAGAAGTCTAGAGGGTGGGCGTATGGAGTAGATTTTAGGTGATGCCTACTCCAATCGTTACCCAAAATGGCAGATGAACGAACGAAATGGGAGATCTACAATGTATGAAATGGATATCGACTAGGGATACATGTAACATCAACCAAACTACTCCACATATAATTCAATATTCAATTCTCAGATGATCCTTCACAGAGAATATACCCTACCTCAGGTCCCCAGATGAAATGAAAAATACTTGGATATATATGTAACCACAATCGACCTATCATTTTCCATCCTCATTCTCCGCCAACAATAATTCTTGGATTTCAACAAGGAACACAACATGAATTCGTTGTACAGACTCCGCTAATCCTTACATAAATTTCCCACTCGTAACAGTACCTGCCTATCTCTGAGCGGCTGATGATAAAATGTGTGATACAGACCTGGATAGAGAAATGATAAGATGTTGGTCCATCCATCCTTTCGTAGAAATATTCTCATGGGGGGTTCATTTCATCGATCGATAATATATTTTCGCTCCATGAATGAAAAGTAGTCATGCAGAATGAAAATTCTCAACATACAACGACTGCTGCTCTCGTCGTTACCATCTTAGCAGCAATCGCCGTCATTCTTCGATTCCTGACACGAAAATTAACAAAAGCCGGTACTGCGGCCGATGATTGGTGGATCTTGATTGGGGTCATATTGTTGATTATCACGGGTAGTCTTCTTCTCTATGGTATGTGATAGAAAATTCATAGTATCAGTACCAGTACCAGTACCAGTACCTAGGTTTCCAGCATATTCATAATCAATCTTCATAGGCGTGAAATCGGATCCAAGCGGCGGCGAGACTATCGATCGCGATTCTCCTACCTTCGATTATAAGCCTCATGTCACATATCTTATAATGTCATGGGTTTGCGCCATACTTTATTTTTCAGTCGTGACGGCTATTAAAATCTCAATCCTTCTCATGTATCGTCGGATATTCTCCTCGAGTTTGGTCCGGTCTTTTTGGGTCTTTATGGGTTTTATTATCATGTGGTGGTTGGTCGGTACTATTGCGACAAGTATCAGTTGTGTTCCAGCAAGTCGATTTTGGATTGGACCTTCGGCTGGTGGATGGTGTTTTAATTTCAATATCTATTGGATGGTTATGGGTGTGGTTGAAATTGTGATTGATATTGGGATTTTGATTTTGCCAATCGGTGTGGTGATTGGACTTCAAATGCCAAATTCTCAGAAAGTCTTGGTTGGAGGTATCTTCCTCCTAGGAAGTTTGTATGTATACCTACATTCGCCTTCCGTCTCAGTTCATACTAACATTATCAAAGTGTCATCGTAACGGGTGTTGTACGAGTCGTTCTTGGATATGCTCCCGGTAGTCAAAAAGTCGATTTTCCACGAGCAGAACTTTGGTCGGCAGTCCATGTTGGAATGGCAATCGTGTGCGCTTGTCTCCCAAACTTTCGTCCACTCTTGAATCGCATCACTGCATCAGCTCGTCGTCTATATGGATCTGCCATGACGAGCGATAGGGATCATAACGCAAGTGGTTCCAGTGGAAGTCGAAGTGGGGCATCAAAAAATAAAACTGCGGTAGAATTGATGACATTGAGTCATATTCGACGTCGAGGACAGAATGAGTTGGAGGATAGAAATGCAGATACAAGAGGGTTGACTAGGAATGAGAGTGGAGACTTCCAGTCACTTCATGTAGAATTGGCGGGAGGGGGAATAGATGAATCTAGACCCGGAGCATTAAATGATGGATGATGAGCCTGTTTTTGAATTTAGAAAAATGAAAATCGTGTTACTCTCATCACTCGATAAGATTGAATGTTTTGTAAAAGCATGGAGACTGTTGATATCATGGAAAGTTTGATATTGAGAGAAGATCTACGAAAAGCAATACAAATAACATTCGAGTAAGGGACCCAACTAAACATTGTTAGCGGATGCTTCTTGCCCAAAATGGTAATCTCGAATCCATCAAAATGGTTCAGGGTGGTTCAGGGCAGGGTAGTGCAGGGTTTAGGCTTGTTTCCCCTCACACGTGTCCGTGAACGGCCCAAAGTATATTTGGACGTCGACGTCCTCCAACTTTATTTGCAGGTATGATGAGGAATCATACTTCGCTGATATCTTTTGTTATTTCTAACAGCTCCTGATTTTCCGTATATCAAAGGTATATCCAAGTAGGAACCAGTCAGCCATTGATTAAACGGAGAGGTAGAGGCTATTCGTACCAAGTCTCTCACCAAGTCACTCACCAATGTGTCTATCGATCAATGTTGGAGAGTGACCCGCTCATGACGAAACCCAAGAAAATTTTGTGCATATTATGGGAAGATCCAAAGCTCTTCTCATTGAGTCGAGAGTACCGACAAAAATAATAGAGACTAAAGGGCACTTGAATGGCGAACGTTGAGGTGGACCAAACCAATAAGAAGTTTCCGGCTCTTGGACCATCTGTTCTCACACAAAAGCCACAAGTTCTACCCTCAGACTCTCTGTAGACTTTGGTAGATAAGTTTCAGGTGACCACATCCGCTACCCCGTCTTTAAAATGCTCATAGCTTTATAACTTCAGCAGTCGACGAACCAATAATATGTGTTTGATTATGTGGTTGAGTGGTTCTGTGGCATCTGTTATTAAGAGGGCGTGGAGGTTTTTTCCGAACAAGTACCGATTTGATGAATGCCGTTATCATATTTAGCACAAGTCATTAACCAAGTCATTAACCAGTAGTCTGGAACAACTTGAGTTCCAGTATTCTGGTTGCCAATTATCTGTGCTGCCAGAACATATTTTGAGTTCTAGCTAGAGCTCGAAATGTTATTACCGACGTGGACATATTTTAACTCTCTGATCCTGTTCTGTTTCATTTGCTTGAATGTTAGATCTGCTTTTGATGGCTTAAATGTCTAGCAATTCGTTCATGTTTAGTATGTATTTATCGACAAGATATTCATGTACGTTCTTGGTTGAGCCTACAGGTCTGGCTTGTTTCAAAGAAAACTTTCTTATTTGAGGGATGAATTGCCACGACACTTGAACTCTTCATTATCTTTATGTTCGAATTGTTTTTCTTTCCAAAAAATCTTAATCTGTGTAATATCTTCATCAATGACCTAAACCCTTCAGAACATCTCATGGTCCAGCAAACATGGCACCAACCACTATTATCACAGCTGGCAATAAACCAGTAGTAGTCTTCGCCCCAGGAAAGAGATATATTGCTGCGTGTACTTCTATTTTGATTGTTAATCTTGTTTGTGCACTCGATGCCACAACAATAGCAGTTGCTCTCCCAGTCAGTTATCTCTTTCAATCATTCTATTGTTGAACCCCCCTCTAACAATTGAATCTGAAAACAGACAATATCCGAAGCCCTCAATGGAAATTCAATTGAGGCTTTCTGGGCCGGTACCTCTTTCCTCCTCGCTTCTACCATTTGGCAACCCGTATTCATAGCACTATCACATGTATTTGGACGCAGACCGTTACTCTTGTTCTCACTATTCCTTTTTACAATCGGCTCCAGTCTGGGGGGAGCAGCACAAAGTATGCCTTCCTTGTTAGTAGGCCGTTGTCTGCAAGGAAGTGGTGTCGGTGGCATTCTTGCACTCACAGAAGCTTTAATAACGGATATGGTACCATTACGCCAAAGAGGAAATGCAATGGCACTTTTAGGAGCGGTATGGGCATTGGGTAGTGTCACTGGACCACTAATTGGTGGGACCTTGGCTGATAGAAATGCTTGGAGATGGATATTCTACCTCAATCTACCCATAATCGCAGTAGGCTTTGTAGGATGTGTTTGGTTCTTGAAATTGGAGAGAAAAAAAAGAACGATACAGGAGAAGTTGTCTGAAATCGATTACATCGGATCAATTATCTTTGTTGGGTCACTAACCTCATTTCTTATCCCCTTGACTTGGGGTGGAGTGAGTTATTCATGGACAAGCTGGCATACTTTGGTTCCACTGCTGATAGGAGCTACTGGACTTATCATTTTCTGCATATATGAAGCGATGTTTGCAAAGAAACCCATCATACCAACTCGACTTTTCCGCAACCCTTCAACAACAATTGCTTACTTTTGTACTTTCTTACATGGGATGATACTCTGGTCCATCGTCTATTATGCCCCCTTCTACTTCATGTCTGTCCAAGGCTACACATCAATGATGGCAGGTGTGGCTGCCCTTCCGGAAACCCTTACTATTGTACCTACAGCGATGATTGTCGGAGTTATCGCTGCAATAACAGGAAAATACCGTTGGAGTCTATGGCTCGGATGGGCTTTCACAGCTTTTGGTTGTGGTATGCTATATCTTCTTGATGTTGGAACACCGGTTGTGGCGTGGGTTTTTTTGATGCTAGGAAGTGGTATTGGTATGGGACTTTTGTATCCAGCCATGAGTTTAGCCATTCAGCCTCGGCTCCACAGGAAGATGCTGCTACTGCGGCAGGATTGTTCACGTTCTTTAGGGCGTTGGGTCAGACGGTTGGGGTGGCGATGTAAGTTATTGTCTTTTTTTCGTGTGGTTCGTATGTTCCTCGATGAGTTTCAGCTTTTGGTTCTTGACTTATCGCCCAGTGGTTGATTTTCTGTTTTCTTCCGTATTTTGGTACCTCTTCCATGTCGCCAATGGTTGCATGGCTGTCGTATTTGCTTTCTGTCACTCTTTAAGTATTGCCATTGGAGCTCACCATGGAGAGTCTGCACACGTCACCATCCAAACCGACGTTACTTCTTCTCCATATGTCACATCTGCCGTTGTCGAAGGTTGTGTTGGGCTCTTATAAGTCTGGGAAGTTCTTCCTTCCATGGTAGCTCTTTGCTATTCTGCATGACAAGCAGTGACTTCGGATTGGCTCTTCATCCGCATTCCATGTTTTCCCCCAGCTCTCTTCCGCTTCTACTTCACCTCGGCAAGCGCTCTTGAAGTCTTTTCCATCGAGATTTGGTTGCCATTCCGTATCGAGCTTGTGCTAACAGTAATCAGTGGAGGTGGCATCTTACAGAATAGAATGCTTGCCGAACTCAGGGCCACCCAAGACTTTGCCATAATCGTAGCAAAATTTGGATACACGATCGAGCAGGTAGCTGCCAATGTAGTAGCTTTGATTCCATTGATTAATGCTCTACCACCCGACAATTTGGAAGTTGTGGAATTTAGGCTTGTATCTGCAGCATCTATTAAGACTATCTGGTTCGCCATGTGTGCATTTGCTGTAATTGGATTGATCGCTAGTTGTTTCATTAAGAGCTATTGTCTTGATCAAGCTCTTGTAACGGATCAAGGTTTTGCAATTGGGGTAAAAAAGGTCGATATCGAAAACGCGGAGATGAGTAATAAAGGTAGCGAGGTTGAGACTTCGAAATTGTCTATAGAGGAGGAAGTCAAGGAGGTGATTGATTCAACTCACTTATCAGTCAATCGAAGTATCGACAAGTTGAGTGAATGGGAGAAGTTGGACACATTGGGTAACCGGAAAAGCGTTAAGTCGAATGATATAGAAAAGTTGAAGCGTTCTGCTGGTGAGGGGAGGGAATACTTGAAGATGTCAGAAGACACTTACCCATGTTCGGAAAAGACTATTAGTTGTAAATCCTTGAATGAGAAGCCTACCGTTGTTTTTGCACTGATTTTATTTCCATTGATCCTACAAACTCATACCTCTTCAAACTATTTTGTGCGATACTGAATGATAACGTTTACTGAATTTTCTACATGAATACGTTGGCAACGAGGCATCTCTGTCAACAAATCAAGTAAATCAACATCTCGGTACCATCATGAATTTCTCTCAGTACCTAGGTAGGTATTCATTCTTTCTATACATCCGTATCTTCTCTTGTACAGTGAATTCAACATATTCTGTTTAGATTAAAGTCATTCTATCTTCAATATCTGGAATTGTCGAATTTTGATTGGCTCGCTAGGGATTTTCGTTGTTTATCCTCCACGGCTCTTTACAACCTCTGCCGTTGTTTTTGTTTTCAAATTATACGGCGTCCTCCTAAAACAACTCACAGAATTCCTCTTGAATACTATTTATCTTGTCAAACTCCCTTGTTCTTCTTTCCTCGATTTTGCAAGTTCAATATACAACCTGCGGATATTTATTTCAACCACCACGCGCAACTTGAAGATTTCCATCAACATCCGGATACTTTCTTCAACATGACAGACAAAATCTCATCTGAAACCAATTTACCGCAAGGCGATTCGTCCAAACCTGCGCGAAAGAAGTATCCAAGAACTACAGAGCGAAGCAAAGTTACCCAGGCATGCGATCAATGTAGAAAGTAAGCTTTTCTGCGATTCACCCCCTGAATTCAACATATATTCACCTCGAGATAATTACAAAACTTGGTATGAAATTACTAATAGTCGCACAGAGGAAAAGCTAGGTGCTCTGGAAACTATCCATGTACCAATTGCGTTTATGATAAGAAGGATTGTACCTTTAACAACGACTACGTTCGTGGTCGAAGATTAAAATTCAGCCAAATCCAAATTACAAACCTGATCCTCAACACAAAGTCTTCGTTGGTGGATCCAAATTAGCCAACTATAATTCTCAAATGGAAAGAGAAAACGCGCAAATGCCAACGGTAATGGGTTCATTCAGCGAGAATCTTAATTTCAATCAAATGATGTCACAACCTCAACAGTTGGCGGGTAGTAGTTCAACTGCTAATCGGGCCCAAGGAGCCCAACAGATCTTTGATCCAAACGCGCCTGTTTCTGTTCTTGCATATGGTGATCTACCAATGCCTATCAGTCAAGCTGGATTGATTACTCTACCAAGTCCTGATGATGGTGCTAAACTTGTTCAGATTTATTTTGACAAGTTCTCCCCAAGCATATTATTTCTACACAGACCTAGTGTTGAACGCTGGACAGATGAGTTATTAGAGGCTGGTGGCAATCTCTTGCAAACATATTATCTTAAGAGCAGGAATGCTATCGTTTTCATGATCTTTGCGTCTGCTCAAACTTACAGTGCGAAATCGGAATGGGTAGACACCAGGTTAGTAAACCATCCTTCCTTTGTATTTTTCTGCTAACATTTACATCTTCAATAGCATGCTCAATTATCAATTAGCCGATGAACAATTACAATCAGAAACTGGTCCACCACGATTAACTAGCCTTCAAGCTCGACTTCTCCAATGTTACTATCTTATTGCTAGAGGTCGAATCAACCAGTGCTGGAGCACTTTTTCCAACGTCGTCAGTTTGATCTTCACACTTGAATTAAACAGACATTATAGTAAAAGAGGTATTATTGATTTGGTTGAGGTGGAATGTCAAAAGCGAGTTTTCTGGGCAGCTTTCTTTTTGGACAAATTCTTGAGTTATGCTTTGCATAGACCACAACGTCTCAAGATTGATGACATTGATCAGGTAAGTTATTTATTTCTACTAAGTTAACACCCAAAGTTCTGCATACTCTTTGTTGGCAGATTTGTTTGTCAATACTTTGTCAAGATGCTGGCCCCTTTCTTCGAGTCAAGAGCACCTGCCCTCCGAATACATGGGGGCTCGGATAATCTGTTTAGTTGACATTGATTTATCAACTTAACAATCATGGCAGACATCAGAACGTCGACTATCCTTTGTTTACAATGCTGGTGTTCAGAGATGGATGGATGAATATAACAGCACAATGAAAATACTTGGATCGAAGGATTGACTAACAATTTAATTAGGAGTTACCAAAAAACCATCAATGACAGCCAATTTAACTCTAACAATCTCATACCTGCTTCTCCAGATGATCTCTCCTCAAACCTTGCATCTAACCTCCAATTCGAGTAAGTAACTACTTCTACTGCCTGCTTCAAGAAAATCACTTACCAAAATACCCTCCAGACTTTCCATTATTGCAAGCAATATTCTTGACCAATTCTACGGATTCCACAAATACGAACCCGAAGAACGTTTCCACCTCGTTCAAGAATACCTCACCAGCACCTTTCCCGCCTGGAAGAACAAAGCAGCCCCATTGATTCAACTTTTACCCGAAAACTTAAACGAAAAACAGAATCGTCAACGATCAGAATTGTGGTTATCTTATCACCATACCAAGATTCTTCTCCTTCGCATTTACCTTCTCGCTCCCAAGTGCGATGCGGCGAGAGATGAAATGATCGGCAAGCTTACAAATGCGTGTAAATACATTTGCGAGATCGTGCAGCCACGTCCCAGGGGATTTCTCAAAGAAAATGAGGAAAAGCTTCGGAAACATGAGTTTCCGCTATATGCGGATTTTGCCAAATCGGTCGCTTTTAGAAGTGCTTGGGTATGTTTTATTTGGTCACATCTCTTCAAGTCTTCTTTCTTCATTTCTTCTTTCGATATACTTGCAAGACTTGAAAGCTAATCTCTTATCCACCAGTTTCCTCAATACATCATCTTCGCCGCGACAACCGTAACATGTATCACAGGTGCCAAGAACTCAACAGAAGCATGCAAGCCCGACAATCCAATCATGCGCAAGATCGAAATCCTCTACGAACCTCTTAAGAAGATCACATTTCCGGGTTCATTCATGGGACTATGTGTTTCCGTTTTGGATGAGTTGAAAACTGCGATTGATGAGAACATGATGCGCCGATACGGTAAGTTAGATGATATGGACTTTGATGATGAGGAATTGGCCGAGGAACACACGAATCTGGCGCGTTGTCTTGATATAATTAGGGAGAATTTGGAGGTTGGTGAGGATGGAGATATTGATATGGGTGCGAGTAGAGAAGAATCTCATGTTATGATTCGGTTTCGTTGTTGGGGTTTTGCGGGACTTGCTAATCGGACGTTGGAACGTGGATTTCAGGGTAGGTTGAGCTGAAGTGGGAGGGAAGTGGGTTTTATTGAATGGGCTTTGTGATGTTAGGGCCATGCTTTTTTTGTCTTGTCTGGTGACCCTAGTCTTCATTCTTGACATGTCGTCAACTTTGAGATGAAATGGGTTGATCAGACATCTTGCAGATATATTGGGGTGCGTCCGAAGCATTTCATATGGATATGGATATGAATACATCACACTTTACGGTTTTTACAAGCAAAATCAGTAGATAGTTCAAGGATTCATCTATGGATTTGATTGATTAACTAGTCAATTTATCATTTCATGAATTGAATGTCTTAAATGAGATGAGAGATTCGATGAGTGCATTCTGGGTAATAATCAATGGAGGACATTAAAGACAATATGAGCAGACATAATTCTTCTACCTCGAGGGTCTTTGTAGATACAAGAGAAGTACAGCTGTAGAGTGTGAATGAATGAGATTAAATGGATTGAGTAGAAAGGCAGGCCAGTCTAATGGTCAAATAAATAAATCTTCCTACCTACAAACAAAACACTGGATAGAGCAAATATTCGAATTGATGAATGAATCAATGAATGAATTAACGAATTGGTTTATATTCTTTTCAAGCCATCTTTTTTATTTTTGTTTCGCCTTTCCTAGATTCTTAATTTGCTTGCTAGATAGGCTATATAGGGGTGGCTGTCTGTATGTATATAACAAAGTTCCCAAAATTTTGAATTAGGTGGAAAGACCGGGCCAGTCTGGTGGGTGAAGGAATGGATATGGTTAGCTGGGTTTTGGATGTTGGGGTTGTTGTATCATCAGGGAGAAGAAAGAATAAAAAAATTAACCTACAAAATCTCGTCCTCTCTCCATTTCTCCTCGAAACTTGTACTGCATCACCAACTCTCAACACCTTCCCTTCATTCACATCTCCATTTCCTAGAAATCCGTAGCGTCCAAATATAGGACTATATTTCATGCCTTCATCTACGCGTCGATCTTTCATGAGGAGTTTTAGGACTTCTTTTTCTTTGGGAGCGGAGGTGCCGGTTTCGTGGTCCACGTTGAGGGAAACGCAGCGGCCGCAGTTGGCGGTTAGGATGATTTCTTTGGGGGAATTGGTATCGGAATTGGGATCGGAAGAGGAATTGGAGGAGAAGGTTAATCCGCCCCAGTAATCTTCATCATATGCGCGGGGCGAACCAGAAATAATGATGTTGGCGCGGAACTTTGTAATGTCCATTTTAGGGGTTTGGGATGGCCCGGAGGGGAGACGACTGGTGACGTCGTCACAGGAGGATTGGGTGATGATGAGGTAGGGGGCGCAGTCGTTGAAGATGATGGAGGGGGGTTTGGGGGTGGGGAGAAGGGAATTGAGGAGGGGAATTTTTTGGAGGAGGGGGCGAGTGGAAGGGGTGTAGGTTGCGGGTTTTCCGGGGAGATTGCCGAGAACGAGACGTCGGTTGGGGCCGGCGTAGGCGAGAAGTACGGGGTATTTGAAGTGTTGGGAAAACCAGTTGTTGTAGGTGGATCCCATGTCGTAGGCTGTCATGGGGCTTTTGTGCATGGTGATTGAGATTTCTGGGAGATGGGAGAGGGTGGAGGGGGAGAGGTCAATAGTTAGGGTTGGGTGGGCAGAGACTGGCGTTTGGGAGGAGGAAGAGGGAGCGTGGTAGGTTACGTGAAGAGTGGAATCTGTGATGGAGGTGTGGAATAGAGCCATTTCTGGAAACTCGGATATGTGCATATTTTGATAGCGACCCCATTTGGAATTGGAATCGTGGATGCGAAGGAGCATGAATTTGCGATCGTAGGAAAATCCTTCTTTGGTTAGGGTGGCGGAGGGGAGAGAGCATCCTCGGAGTGATTTGATGGGGTAGATGTAGAGCTCTATGGTGTTAGTTGGATGTGAATGTTGATTGTGACTCTGGGGAAAATCATGTAACTTACTTGACTAATAGTCATTTTTGGACCGGATGGAGAAGAAATCGATTTAGAAATGCCTTTCTGTTGCGCAGTAGCCGTGGCCAGTGAAATCCCATCTACTTTTTTCACAATCGAAGCCAGCTCATGGTCATTCTCAAGTATCCCCGATCTCCCTTCCAACATCCCTTTAAGATCAGTAGCTATCTCTGCAACTTCTTTCCGGGATTTTTCATCTCGTTGAATCTGTGCTTCGGCATTATGAAGCCGTTTTCTGTACTCCTCAAGCTGAGTACTTCGGGTTGATAGCTTGATCACAAGATACCATATCAAACTGATTTGGATAATCGACCGGAAAGACCACTCTCCTAGAATAGGTATGCGGATTGTGTTCATATAATGAGTGGCCTTTACAATCATATCCCACAAGGAATCGAGAAATGGTTCTGAGGTTGCCATTCCTTCGGAGTGGGAGGTATTCGTCGGTATTACTGGGTATGTTATGAACTGCTCAGAAGTATGCAGTAATTTAATCGAGGAATCTGGAAAGCAAGGAGTTTTATTGTCTAGATGTTTTCATATCAAATAAAATGCTGAGATGGATGTCGTTGAGATGTATAAAATACGCTTGCTTGCAATTCCCTCATTTTGGTGTGAAGTGTTAATCTTATCTGACGAATCAGAGAAAAGATGGATATTCTTACCCGATAAGGCGAGTTTATTCTTTTAGTATCATGAGTTTATTTCATCTATCGCTCTCCATTTGAGTTCTAACAGTTAATAATGATATGTATATCTTTCCATCGACAGTACGAGCGCAATTAAACTTCAAGGACCTGCGAGGTCTTGAATATTTCGGATAGTCACGTGAGCGGCGCCTCATTGATTCTTGGTCTCTACTGCCGACTCGAACGACACAACTTAGCGAACATACATAGCGAACATACGTTATGGAGACTTTTAAAGATCTCGGAGTGAAATTATACAAAATGCCTTCATTTTTTTTTATTTCATCAACTCATCACGTGTTAGACTGTATAACCTTCCGGCTTCACTCACTACATGGGAAGCATCTCCGCAAGACCTACGGAGTAGTATCCATGGATATACCCCGCTTTTCCCCAAGAATCTAAGTGGAATATTCTCCTCCACGTGCATCAACCATAGGACCTTAACTTCATCCGAACTTTTTGTACCTGCAGAGATAATTTACTTTTTACCATTTTTGGGATGCAATTCAATATGTATTCTAGATGCTTATGGAGATTAGGTTTTTACATTTGTATATAAAAGGACGATGAATTCCTGCTCTTGGCAATGGAATATTTCAGTGGTCGATTCTTGAAATTAATTATCATATCGTTTGTAATTATGCTTTCATTAACGATTTTGTTGAGCTTTCTCTCGGTTGTGGGTGCGATTCCGGGTGCTCAGTTTCCTCATGCTACTCCAGCTCCTTACTATGACGCTCGATCAAATTCCGGATCTCATGATAAGAGTTGGATAAATTATACTGCTGTACCGGGGTTCTTTTTACAAGATGAAGCGACGACTGTTCCGTCGACTTTCGATTATGTATGAATTCTTATCTCTTCTCATTCTTCGGATATACATCATTCATTACACATGTGTTAGCTTTTACAAGGCTAATCATATTCACAGACTCAATGGAACTTTGGTCTCCTAAATCGAACTTATCCTACAGATTCCCCTACCTCTAAGAATGCAAGTCAATGGGAGAGATTTGAGAAATATGTGACTTCTTTAAATAAGAACTCTAAGAAGAATGTGAACTATAAAGTTTTATTTATGGGGAGACATGGTGAAGGATGGCATAATGCTGCTGAGACTTATTATGGAACTCCTGCTGTAAGTTTTTTGATTGAAGATATATTGATGAATTAATCGCTAATGGTAGATATAGTGGAATGTATGTACTTGTTTTGATAAATGAATCTAGCTTCGGAATGAATCTAATGATTGTAGTGCTATTATTCCGAATTGGATGGCAATGCCACTGTTACCGTACGTACCACGAGTCCTCCTCCTACCGTTGAATATATCATAATGAATCTAACATTTTTTCAGTGGGCAGATGCTCATTTAGATCCTAATGGGATTACTCAAGCTCAAAAAGCATCAAAATACTGGCTTTCCCGCATTCAACTCCAAAATATTCCACTTCCACAATCTTACTATACTTCTCCACTCTATCGCTGTCTTCAGACTTCCAACATTACATTCTCAACTCTTCCTCTTCCTAAATCTCGTCCTTTCAAGCCATTGGTTAAAGAACTTCTCAGAGAAGGTATTTCTGGTCATACTTGTGATCGAAGAAGTAATCGTACTTTCATTCATGAATCATTCCCCTCATATAAAATCGAGAAAGGGTTCGCAGAGATTGATCCATTCTGGAAGGCATTGGAGGGTGAAGTTTCTATCGATCAGGATATTAGAAGTAAGAAGGTCTTGGATGATATTTTTGGAAGTGATGATCATACTTGGTTGAGTATTACAAGTCATTCGGGGGAAATTGCTAGTATTTTGAGAGGTATGATTTCTCTGATCACTTTGTTGAATTTTCGCCCCTGGTTATTGCTTTTTCTAGTAGGCAGTATATCACTTGATGTTTTTTCGATGTTAAACTGGGCTGTTGGGAAAGGATTTGGACCCGGTCGGAATAGGTGGGCAATTCAGTCCAGCCTGTTCTCTTGGTGTCAACTCCATCCAAATTATTTAATTTCCTTCCAAAATATCGCAGAGTACTGACCTCATACCACACAGTTCTCCATCACCAAGTCTTCAGCTTAGTAACTGGATCCATCATTCCAGTCTTGGTAAAAGCAGAGACTATTTCCGGAAGCCCGACTCTAACTTCCTCTCTACCCGTAAGTATTTTCACTACTTCTCTTGCAATTTTTCTGATAAACACAAAAATACTTTGTAATAGTACTAATGACAATGATCTGATTGCAGTGGACGACTATATCGACGTGTACCAGTCCTCCGGCCAACACGGCTACCTCATAAGGTGGAAGGAAAAGAAGAAGTTTGAGGATAAGGTGGAAAGTAAAAGGATCATAATACCATTCTCATAAGAAGCACACTACAAGTCCGATCAATTAGTAATACCAAATATGTTTCTATTTACCTTCTCTTCTCTCCTGGTGCATGTACGAGGATTATCGCTTCTGTCTCCATTCCGCACGTGTGACAGGTCCTTTATTTCCACCGAAAAAGTCAAGCTTCTCGGAAACTTTCGAGAAAGTGTCGCAATATAATCCCATTATGATCAAGTGCCATAGTCGATGATCTTATTTACGATCATGATGATGAATTTCCCTCACTCTCGCAACAAGAACACGAATAAGAATTAAACCACAACGTTCAATCTCTGCGTGTTTTGTATCTGCGTGTTTTGTATCATCATTCCATCCATGCGCCTGCGTCTTATCATGATTACTTTTTTTCTCTTGATCGATTTCTTTTTCTGGGAGATTGCGGATTGTGGTGAGAGATATGTGACTGAGAGTTAGAATAAGTGATGTGTAAATGTCGAGTCGAGAGTCGTGATTTATGGATCATTGATTTGATTTTGAATTAGAAAATTTTGTCGTCTGTGATATGTATCTTGAAGTGGAATCTCTGGTGTATCGAGGATGCTGAATTATGATGCGTGGGAGGTGTGCTGATATCCGAGAATGGAAAGTCGAGTTGCGGGGATTAACATTTTTTAACTTTGGAGAATTTGTATTGGGGGGAAGTAGTTAGAGGGGAGAGAAGAGAAAGAAAAGTATGATGTAGAGAGATGTATATTTTATGGAAGAATACTGTGGGGGAAGATAATGAAGATATATATAGGAATTTAGGGAGGGTTGGAGAAGTTATACGTGTGCCATTAGTGGTATGTGATGGATGGATGAATGAATGAATGAATGATAAATTAATGAGAGGAGTGGATGATACAAGGAGGGGACTTCGATGGTTTTATAGTAAAATCAGAAGAGGATATACAGTGCATGAGTCATATGTAAACTAAACTCAAGAAGTTGGGAAGACTAATTGTAACGAAACTAGGAATTACTTAATTTAAGTTTGGAGACTAAAGTCTTGTGGAGAGTGGGATTGTAATAGACTATTGAATTTATGTTAGTGTTAGTAGGGAGATGGTTATGAAGGGGGGAGATGTAGGATGCAGTTGAGTGGAGTAGAGGAATATTTTGGGTTTCTGGTTTTGTTTGTGGAAGTTGTGGAAGTTTGTGGACGGGGAGAGAAGGCGGAAGTAGAGAAGCGAAGTGAGGCGAAGGGAAAAGAAGAATAAGAACATCCAACTACGGCATGGGAAAGAGAGTAAAGTGAGGACACGTAAGCAGTAAAGTGCTAAGCGAGGTTAAGCGAGGGTTTGTCTCCCCCTTAGTTTTATTATAAGTATTGTTATATGACAATAGGAAAGATTGTAGATCTAACATCATAGTATCATGAAAACTCTGTAAATATTATGTAAATATTCTGCGTTGTCAGATATTAGTTTGATTGTAGACCTCATGAACGAAAATTTCCAGGAAAGATTTTGGATTGATGACGAAAAGAACTAGGAATTCCATCATATCAATTGGTTTCACAAGAATAAATATCGGTCTCTAGGCTCTAATTCATTGGATCATTTAGACGTCTCAAAATACTTATCTATAGGGTTAGAGAAATTTAGTCACCGAGGGAAGCTCACGTTTATTCAAATCTCAGAAATTTTAAAACATATAGTATTCCCAGAAGAAAAATTCCAACGTCTTTCCATTGACAGAAACTCAAATAATGTACCAAAATAGTGTGCCAAGATGACATACTAGATAGTGTCACTAAGTACACTTTTGATACCAAAACAGGCACGCTTTGATTGGGCTTAAATAATAGTACTTTTGTACTCATTGAAAAGTCGTGATTGTGAAATCATTAGGTATCGCAAGCTCCTATGTCCCTAAAAGGAAAAAGAAGCGAGTAACTAAATCATACTGCTTAAAAGCTGGAGTAAAGAAGAGAAAATATGGCAAACAAGCATATGCAAAACCATGACCGTAGAATCGTTGAGTAACACACACTCCTGACCATGTGGAAAAAAGTGTGAAGACCCAACAACATTACTCAAGAATTAAACATTAAAAGGCAAAAAATGTACTGAATGACTCATCAAAGTCATATCAAGAAGTCGAGTATCCTAAAGGTAGTTGTAACGGATATCTTGACTGAGATGTCGACATCAGATATTCATCACGCCATACCAAAAAGACTCTCTCGAAATCTCAATCTATCCCTCCTTTTGTTGCTCTTCCTCTCTATTGCCGGGATCGTCGAATGATTTATCAGCCAGTCTCGATGCTGTCAAAAAAACTTTATTGATCACGGGTGACGGCGCTGTTCTTTTTGAAATCATTATTAGCTTTTAACTTTCTTGTTCCAAGATTTTTTCGAGTAAAAAAAGGGAGAAAGGAAATCAGGATACAGTGCAAACTAATGAGATTATTCTCTTTTAGTTACCCTCCGGTCTTGCTGGTGGTGGGCTAAAAAGTGGAGGTAACCATGACAACATACTTCTCATTGAGGTCTACATAAATGAGCAACTCCCCTGTATTCACCCTTTTTATGTGGGTTCTCTGAGATGGATGATCAGGAAATCTCAGGGAGTGAATGCATTATCCCAAGGTTCTTGTCAAGAACTTCTTCACAACCAAACCGTCTCATCGAATTGGGTATTTTGCGGAAATACGATATTATATAAAGCACGGACCTTTCACACTCCTCTCCTGAACTAAAGGATTGGAAATGAAAAAAAAAATGAATAATTTGTAATTTCTCTCGGGGTTTGGAGGAGGGGGAGAAGGAAGGAAATGAAGGGGATTGTGAATACTCTCATTGAATCAGAAACTCAAGTTCGAGGTCGTGGAAGAGATGTTGAAAACAAAACAGAATAGTGGGTATGACAACTTGCAAATATGGCAGATAGCAGAAAGTAGGAGTAACAAGAATAATAGAAAATTAAACATACCATATCACCATTTGAAGATGATCCGGTGACCTGATCAACAACTACATAGTCATTCGCTCCTTCCTGGCTTCCGTCATGCTCATTAGAGCTTCCGTACGTGGCGACAGAACTGCCACCTGTAGAGGAAGATGAAGTACTCGAAGCATCAAAGACTCGAACATTCATAAATGTAGAACTTAAGATAGTGCTTGCAGAGGATGTTGTAGTGACGGTGTTGACTGTCAAAGAATTCAAGGCAACTCTAGCAGGGTGAACGGTGATCTCAACAGTTTGAGTGGCTTGAACAATTTGGTTATTGCCAGCAGCTGGAGCACTGCCAACAGTTTGAACACCGCCAGCAGTAGCTTGAGCACTACTAACACTCTGAGCATCTCCAGTGACCTGGGCAGCGCCAATGTGAGAAACATTTCTCGCAGCCATTGTAGGATACTCGATCGGTCTTTCAGCCATAATCATAGCGTGATAACGGGCTCTTTGAGCTCGGAATGTAAGAGGAACATGTTCCTCGGCATTTCGTCGAGCGAGACGAGGACGATGGTTCATTGGGGCTGGAGGACCAGGTTGATTGCTATTGACCGGTTGATTATTGTCGACTTGTTGATTGTTTTCGACTTGTTGATTGTTGTCGACCTGTTGATTGTTGTTGACTGGTTGATTGTTGTCGACCGCTTGGTTATTGTCGACTGCTTGATCGTTGTCGACTGCCTGATTACTGTTGACTGGTTGATCCATTTTGGCTGTTGGAAAAAATTTGATTGGTTGACCCATGTAGTTGGCAGGGAAATGTTTCGACAGGAAGCTTGATGCTTTCAATAAATCTGCTACTGCTCCAAATAGTATGGTTAGTATTCAATCGAGTAAAAGACAGCAAGGTATCAAGATTCTTTCGTAACACGTACCAATGCGAGCACGATTTATTCTCTCGGATTCCTGTTATCGCACAAAGAACTGGAGTATCAAGTTCGGAGAAAGAGGAGAGGGGGACACGTATGGTTTTTATACTAATTGAATGATAGTGAAGCGAGATTGGAGTGTTGACCGCGGACTACTATGTCAAGAGATAAAATCTACTAATGAATGGCCTAAGAGAAAGAAGATTGGGACGGAAGAGAAGAGTTGATATCAACCGACGCTTGTGTGTATTAACATGTGTGGTCACGAGGGTATATGTTCTACCAGAAAGAAAATAGCAGTCCGTCTCTTCTCTGATGATGACCATAAGTTAAGTGAAGAGCTCTACGCCTTTTCATTCGTTCGCTTGGATCTTTTCTCGATGAATTCCACTTTTCTTCGGACCCAAGATCAATCCAAGTGGTCCATTGTATCTTAATGATTATAGTTGGATTGAGATCCTTGATTTTCCCATAACTGTATCCAACATCATCCAGGAATTGGTCGAAATATTCGTCAAACTTCTCTAGTGTCGGGTTGATCTTCCAGATTCCGTTAAGGGTATTGGTACATGAACGCTTGGATGCACAGACAATTCTGTCAAGGAGTAAATGTCACGCGAAAAGTACGGGAAGAGCGGGAGTTGACACTCTCAAAATAGAACAAGAACGACAATTTCATTTGGATTAATTCTATTCAAAATTAATACCAAATGAATGAAAAGGCATTTTGATTTGAGAATTGGTACACAGATACTTGACGCTTTTCTCTCATTGACATACTCTACAATATTCTTGGATGGCTGCTTTAATCAAGCGTTATCTACTGAAGTCGAACCCTAATTTGGCCGTTCATTGTTGGTACGGCGATCTAGCGCTCAACTTTAGTTAGATCTGGGTTAAGTGAGATGCAGATCTGGGTTAGGTGAGATAGAGTGAGTGAACCCTTCTTTCCAAAAACCCACGTTTTGACATCGTTACCCTACAACCAGATACCCAAGTCGACTGAAACCTGATTCTCATCACAAAATTTTCAAATATTTGATATCTTCATAATTTATACAGACGATTTCTTTCACGCCTGAGTCTGGGGTGCATAGGAGTTCATTCGGCACACCCTCGGTTAGCAGCTCGGCCTTGATTCCCTGCGGCGATCATAACGCTAATTAAGAGCCTCACCGTAATCCAGCGGAAGAAAATACCTCAAAAATCGGTCCAGAATGATGGTAGTAAAGTCTATAATTTATTCGTAAATACATTTCCACATTGAATACGACCAAAAGTAAAGGATGTTTAAATTTTCTCGTCATTGGGTGAGAACTTTAAAAGCAGAGTAGAAATTATTTGATTTGCTTAATAAGTTATATTTGCTTGGGTCAAGAGTTTGTCTGTCGGACAGTAATGATACTAGGTGAACTCTGTGTTTAAAAGCTGGAAATCCATACAATTTATGAGCATTATGTGTCCTTTCCAGTTTTGAAACCAATACCTTGGGTGTAAATTTTAGGTCTCTGTAGTATTAACTCCGGTCATCCTAATAATAAAGACACCTCTTTTCTACCCACACGTACCATACATGATTCTCCACCGAAACAAAAAGATTTATCAGGTATGAATAGTTGTCCGTACTGAGATATACCGGCATACTAATCCTCAGCGTGCTGGATGAGATGAAGAATAATACTTCGGGTGGAAAGAATTACATCAGAATTGTCACGTTTACAAGGATTCGAATACTCGAGTAATGATAGTAACCAATCCTCATTTCATATACCGATAATAAAAGCTGTCATTAGATGTTCATCAGAAGACGACTATAATTATCTCCGCATACGATTGATTAATAAGGTTAATAATCAAGTAAACGAATAAATCAAAATTCGAAAATCGAAAAAGTAAATATTAAATATTAAATATTACATTTTCAAAATTATTCCTTCATTTCTTTATTTTTTTGAAAAAAATAATTCTCTTTCTTTTGTTATTATTAATTAGTTTTTTTTTAAATTTTAGAAATATTATTTAGATTTTTTTCTTTCTAATTTCTATAGAAAATAAAGTTTGAAAGAATTGTTTTTTAAGAATTAATTTTATAAAAAAAACTAATTCAATTTAAAAATCTAATTTTAATTTTTATAAGATCCAAAAAAAGAATTTAATTTTAATTCTAAATTCTAAATCTGATTATTTTTCAAAGTCTAATTATCTTGTTTTTCCAAAACAAAAAAATCAGTTTTGAATTTTAAATTTTAAATTCTTAATATTTAATTCTCAATTTTCAATATTTTTCTTTTTCTAAAAAAAATTATATTTTTATTTCTATAAGTTTTCAAATAATTTTGATTTTATTAATTTATTTAAAAATCAATATTTTCTTTTTAATCATTTTTTATATCTTTTTAAGATTTAGATTTAGTATTTAAAAATAGAATTAGAAATTAGATTTTTTTTCCATTTTCCAATTTTCCATTTTCCATTTTCCATTTATTCGTTTACTTAGCCATGAACCTCATGCAACCAACCGTACGCAATCCAGTCAAATCCATCCAAATCAATCCAAAAACAAATCAATCCCTCAAAATTCAATACTTAGATACACCCAACTCATCATCACATTAACCACATCCACATACACCACATCACACATATCACACCACATCATATAAACCTTCCCACACCCACACCCCCATATTACAAAACACACCTGACACCGCTAGGTAATCAAGAAAACATAACACACAAGCCCAAATCAAACACTACCTTCCAGGTTATAGAATCAAATCCGCTCCAGTAGGTGGTTTTTAACACATAACTCCAGCTGTCTCTCTACAATCCCCATTTCCCACAACCACAACCACACTCCCAAATCCTACCTCATCCCATTCATCATCCATTCTCCCCTCTCCGATATCCTCCTTCCTTCAAACACAAACACACCACTTTCAATCTCCAATCCAAATAATCAATCACCTACTTCGTTTCCTAACTAATCTCTACTGATACTTAGTAACAACCCCCACATCATCAACCTCAACATCATCAAATAATACTGTACACACAATACATTCATCCACACACATATACCAAAAATGTATTTGATTTATTTTATTTCATCTCATCTCATCTCATCTCATCTACTCTTATTTTTCCCCTTCCCTTCCCCTTTCTATTATTCGCTAATACCCCCCTCCATCTCCATCTCTATCTCCATATCCATCACCATCACTTCCACCCTTTCATCTCCTCCATTCCCCAATCCCCCCCACAATCCAAATCCAGGTCGTTATCCACCCCATCCCACCTACTCCATTCCTCCAAACATGAAAAACATAAACTTTGGTATCATAACATTATGCATGCATGCACATCCAAATAATTTCTCCAATCAATCCATCACACAATCCATTACCACAAACAAATCCATCCCTCTACAAAAATTCAACAAAATTTATCCATCCATTCATACATCCCCCTATTAAATGCAAATTCCCCCCATTTGCCAATAACCAAACCATGCGTCCGTCCATCCCCGTCCCAGAACCCAAATACACGAATGCTATGGGTATATCGAGAAAAAGAAGGGTCGAACGCCTGCCAGTTTAGCTACAACCAAACCAAAACAATGCTAAATTCGACAAAAAAACAATATTTGCCGCCGATAGAAAAAGAAAGTCATAACGACATAACGGCATAATTCATTACTTTGTCACCTTCATCTCACCTCTTCCCATCACTTCTCTTACCACATTCTCGAATCTTCATCTTCACCCCTCACACCTATTGAGGCGCCCCAGTTCCCGCCCCTTCTTGTCCCTTCAACAAAGTCCTCAATGTAAGAACCTCTCTCCTCAACCTAGCATTTTCCTTCTTAACTCTCGCAGCTTCCTCACTACTTTCTCTCATTCTCGTAACCAATTCTTCTTTCGCACTCATTGTTCCACCCGCACCATTCCCATCTTCACCTCCAGCACCACCCTTTCTACTCGCTCTCAAAGCCTTAACAATCTTCCCCAATTCTGCATTGAACTTCTCATAAAGTAACTCATTCTCCGCACTACTCTCTTTATAAAGTTGATCCAATCCTTTAACCTTGAACTCACTCGCCTGTAGACTAACTTCCAACTCCTTTTTAACCGCATCATTTCTCTCATTCAAATCTTTCACAATATTTGGAATCTTCGTCTCCAACAACAAAACGGCTTCAGAAAGTCTGGCAATATCTGAAGTTCTAGGAATAGCAGAAACAGCATTTAATTTTGCCATTTCTTCACCAATCTTAGACAACTCATTTTGAAGAGAAGCTTCTGCTTCATTTATTGCTTTGGCTTCATTTTGTAAACGTTCGCGAAGTTTTTGTGGACTTTGAAGACGAAGACGTTGAGGAGATTTGGTAGTTCCATTCAAGTTGTTTGCGTGTGATGTTGTTGGACGAGAAGGATCACGAGGGGTTCCACGAAGAGTAGGGATGTTTGATGAGAGAGAAACTGTTTTGTTATGACCGGCTCGCCATTGTTCTTTAACCGGTGATGCAAATGGTGTAGAATCCAGAGAAGACATGATATTCTGAGCTCGTTCGGTTAAATTACCCATACTGCGATCGATCCGATCAGGGGATGTGATCATAGGTACGTTTTCCTTGAGAGCAGGTGAACTTCGGTACATTAAAGATCGATCTCTATCCATAATTGAACCATTTGCTGGAATTTTCGTAATCTTTAATGGAGAGGTTAGAACCTTTACAGGTGATGGAGTTCTTGGTGGAGAATTTGCTCTTTTATTTGGCGGTGTAATCGTAGCAGGTTGTTGCTCAGGAGATGGAGTCATTGGTCCAAGTGTTGCTTG